CCATGGCCAGCAGCTGCCTCTGGCGCTTGGGGCCAAGCTTGCACTGTATTGGGGTGGTGGGTGCCAGTGCTCACAGCATCCTGGGATGGAGATGTGGGGATGCCAGGGCTCTCCCCACTGCCTGGGATCTTTGATGTGCCACATGTTCCCGGGGCAGTGAATCTCCCTGTGGGCACCCCAGTCCCAGTCACACTTACTCCCTTAGAAGCAAGAAGGGCTGGTGGAGGGTGAGGGGGGGAGTGTCGCTTACCATTAGCCCCTAGGGATTTCCTCTTGTCCCCATCAGCACACTTGCAGTAGTGGCATGTGGCAACCTCCCAGCATGGTGCCCAGGGACAGACTGTGCAGGAGAGTGACCCTCCTCTCCCTCAGCACTGCTCCCACCTGCCTGGGCTCCTGGATGGCAAAGCCATGAGGTGTGGGGAGGCAGGCCAGGGGCACCGGGCAGGCAAGCATGGCCCCTACCACAGTCCACCCTGCTGGGGGAGCTGCCAGGGCCCCTCTATGCCAGAGAAAAGCTCAGATACAGTCTGGTTAGAAAGACAGATTTATTGCAACATCAGTTTGCAAGCAGCACTCAACCCCCACAGCAGTGACTCTGGACTCACGTGGACGCCCTTGACCCTGCTGTGATAAATCTGTGGCCAGCAGGCTTGTCCCTGAGGCCACAAGCCCACCTCCCCCCCTCCAGGTAGGTTCACTGGGGCTGCAGGCTGGGGTCCAGCTGTGCCAGGGGCTGCTTGCAGGCTGGGAGCATGGAGTAGGGAACAGAAACCAGATTCAGGATCCTTCATCAATGTAAGCCACCAGCTGGGATCTCCAAGCAGTCACAAGGCTCTCAGGATCCTCAGGGAGAGAATGGGGCAAACCCCCCCCAGCATGTAAGAAGGCTGAGCATGGGCAATGCCACTGTGTCCTCTTCTCTTACTGCGTTCCCTTGGTGCCAGCCCAGGTGCTCTGGGGAGCCGGGAGAGGTGCCAGCCTCATTCCCACCTGCAGCAGCTACACATATCCCGTCAGGTTGTAGGAGTTGACCTCACTCTTGGTCTTCTGCATCTGGCTGACAGAGGGCCGAGGGCTCTTGTTTGCAAGCAGCTGAGACTGGTAGGTGCTTGTGTAGGTGGCTGTTGTGTCCCGGGCAGGGCAGGAAGTGCAGAGGATGAAACCACCGATGAGGGAGAGGAGGGAGGAGATAATACCCAGGTAAAGAGCCTCCCCGAGCTCGAACTTCATGCTGTCGGGGAGAACGGGGTTGCGGAAATCCCGCAGCACCACGTGGATGTTCCACACCAGTGGGATGAAGCAGAGCATCCCCCCAAGGATGAACACTGCACCACCTGCCACCGCCACCCGGTCCTTGCCCGGCGAGCCCTGACTGAAGACAGTGCACCTCATACCCACAACAGCAAGGAGGCAGGCGAGGGAGGAGACGGCGCAGGAGCTCACCATCAGGGCTTGGGCTGCCTGGATGTCAGCAGGCAGGTTGAGCAGGGAGCTGTAGATGTCACACTGTGTGATGCCCGTGCTGTACGTGGCACACTCCATCCACAGCCCCTTGGTGAAGCTCACAGCTGTCACGATGCTGGAGCCGATGTAGGAGCTGGTCTTCCAGCTGGGCAGCAGCGTGGCTGTCAGTGTGCCGATGTAGCCCAGGAAGGCCACGGTGTAGCCCAGCAGCTGGAGCCCCATGGACACCATGGTGGGGGTTGGCTGTCACCTACCCAGGGCTTGCGGCTTCTCACCCAGTTCACTCCTGTGTGCTCACGTTCCCATGACCCTGTGAGGAGCTCCGCTCACAGTGCTGCAGCTCCACCCTGCTCCTGGGGGTGCTGGTTTTGTGCAGGGTGGGAGCCGTGGGGAGGTTACCTGCAGGAGTGGAAAGCAATCCCTCCCCGATTAACGATTGACCCAAGCCCGTGGAGGAGCGCCAAGTGCCCTTTCACCTCTGCTATCTCCCCAGCCAGGCTTCAGAGGCAGAGCAGTGCTGCCCAGGAAGGATGCCAAAGCCCTCCCCTGTGCTGATGCCATGGGCAGGGATGGAGAGCCAGCTGCTGGTGGGGGGAAACTCCCTGCTGCCTTCCTGGAGGTCCCTGGTCTTCTGCCATGCCCCAAACTGAGGAATTCAAAAAGCTATGGCTGCACCATGTTACGTGGGACCTGCTGGAGATGATTTCAGGTAGTGACCCTGATGCTCCCCAGCTGAGGAAGAGGAGAGGCACCTCATCCTCATCTACATGAGGCTCAGCCAAGGCATCTGCAGTCACCCACAACCCACCTTGAGCTGCTGGGGCTCCATTGGGACAACAGGATGTGCCCACCTGAGGTTGAACAATGGCTATCAGCCTTTCTGTGCTTCTGGGGGCAACTATGGAGAAGGATGTATGTGACAGTGACACCTACATCCCCAGGAGAGCTTCGAGGTCTGTGGAGGGCAGAAGTACATCCGGGCAAAGCAGGCTGGCATCACCTCAGGGATGCTTCCCAGAAGCACCACAGCCACACGGGGTGACCTGTCCGGCATAGGGGTGAGCACACTGGGGTGCAGGTCATGCTGGGATTTTTCTGCCGGTGCCATCTCTTGCCCACAGCCCTGTGCATGGGCACAGGGTTGGCAGAGGTGGTGGAGTGGAGTGGTTTGTTTTCCCTCTGCTTGGTTTCAAAATTCCTCCTCCTGCAGTGCCTTGCGAAACCGGACCGAGCCCACACCACATTGCCTGGACACCACAGCAAGCGGCCTCCCTGTCACCCTG